ATCTTTTAGAAACTCTTACAAACCGTCACAAATACTTGAAAAGTGTCACTAATATATATACTTTTAGAGAAGCTTTGCATAAAAAATTGACTAACCTTTAGAAAAGTTTTGAAAGTGTATCTAAAGCTTCAAATAAGCGTCTCTAATGGCTAACAAAAACACACCCTCCGAAAACCCTCTCTAAAACCTTTACCTACCGCTACACAGAGAAGCTCTTTGACAAAATTGAAAAGCTTATCTAAAGGCTTTAGAGAAGCTTTTAAGACTTTTAAATACAAAACAATACCTTCTCTGAAGGTCATTTTTCTTGTAGTGACATTGAGGACAGATAAACTCTTGTATGATAATTGATAAAGCCTAGCCTTACAATAGACTTTATTGTAATCCTTGATGTCATATATGTAAGCTAATTAAGACGTAATTTTTTACTGTAATCCTTAGGGTCTGTTTGATTTGCATGATTGTTTTTTAGGGATTTGGATTTTACGGAGGGATTTGGATTTGGAGGGATTTAGATTGGAATATATTTGAAATCATTGGTGTGTTTGGTTTGTAGGATTTGGAATGGAATTGGATTTCAATTATTTATAAATCATTTATAGAAAAAAAATTATAAAAAATTATAAAAATAATTGGATTACATTTTTATTAATTGATTATTAGAAAAAAATTGTTTTTAACATTTTTTAATACATTATAGCATACAATCCTACGAAATCCCATGAAATCTCGAGCACTCCCTAAGAATAACAAAATCCTATATTTGAAGGATTTCAATTAAATCCAAGGATTTCAAATCCGGACAATCCAACAAACCAAACATAGGATTGAAATGGATTTGAAATCCGTTTACTTTCTTCAAACCAAACGGAACCTTAGTATTAAGGTTATTGTATTAAAAATCCAAGGTTAGTTAAAGATGCCCGCATGACGTTCCAATCTTTTTAGAGCTCCAGGTCCAGGTCCAGGTCCAGGTCCAGTTACGTCTGTATCAAAGCTATACAAAGTATAATTAGAATTTTGCTGCAAAGGTTGAAGATGGGCTCGAGGTCCAAACACATGTAAAATTTTTAAGATCCTATTCAAAATCTCACATTTAACATGCTAAAAAACGATCTCACATATACATAAGATGCAAGTGTTTGGACATAATGGATATGTCCAAATCATGTTTTGGGGATGCATTTTGTCATAATGGGCATCTCCAAGTTTTTAGTTGTAATTTTCTTTTTTTGAATCAATTTTTTTCCTCATAAATATTGCTTTTGCAATTAGTAAAATACATGTATTTGGGAACATTAATTTGTTCATAGATTCATATCTTTGTTATAATGATTATTTCATTTATTATAATTATTTTTTGAATAAGCCATGGTTTATTGCAATTTTTCCTTTTTGGGCTTTTTTTTTTTATTTCACCTAAAATTCTAGATAAATTAATTTATTATGCATCACATATGATTTACTATGTAAATTTTTGTACGTGTCACATATGATAATATACGTCTGAATATAAGTGATGTACTATCACATGTGATAATATTTACATCTCAAAAATGTAAATAAACATAATCACGTATGATTAACAAAAATATCTACAATTATGTCATGATGCATACGATCATCAAACAAATTATCATATGTGATAAAAAAAAAACTTATAATCAACCTATCATAAATTTATCTTTGGAGTGAAATCAATTTATTAAGGATTATTATTAATTGGTTTGGAAAACAAGCTCAATCCCGATCGAATTAGAGATATCACCATGATTACAGATAATGCTACCCTTTTTAACTTAATTTAATAATTTTTTTATTTTATTTATGTCTGATTTTTTTCTCATATTCTCGCAAATTAGTTTGTTTACCATATTATGCTCCACACACACGTGTGTGTGTGTGTATATATATATATATATATATGTGTGTGTGTGTGTGTGTGTTAGAATTAATTATGTAACATGTCCTTATTATTTGATGGCTTTTGTATAAATAATAATAATAATAATAATAATAATAGAAAACAAAAAAAGTGCAAAAAGGGAACAAAAACATGGTTGGACAATTTTAGTCACGACTCTAACAAACATAATGGACAGAGGGTGACCATATCCCATTTTTAAAGCAAAATCCAAACATAAGCGATGAATGTTCGACTTATTAAAGTACATGTCCCACTTTGAAGCTGTATCCCAAAGACCAAAACTGAAGTTTACTCTAAAATAATAATAATTTTGGTCTAGTTAGTGAGAGAAAATAAAAATTAAATTCTCTCTATAGATATCAAGTTTTAAAAAATTCTATAAATTTAGAGTTTTTTTTTTCTAGTTCTTTATATTTTAATGAAAACATTATAGAGTATCGGTTGAAGCAAAATAAATAACAAAATACCATTTTTTTTTTCTATTTTAGAGAATATGTTAGAGATGCACTTACCTTTTGGGTGTGTTTGGTACATCAGACATAATATAACATGACAAGACAGGATGGATCAAAACTCATTGTCCCACATTTGGTGTGGCATAGCACATGACAAGAATTCATTGTTCCATGGGATAGGAACTGAGACAAGTTGGGACATCATGAGACAAAAAAAGTTTTCTTTTGTTCCACTAAAATAAGTGGAACAAGATGGAACCAAAATGAGATATAAACTAAAATATTACTAATCTATCTACGTTTGATATAACCTTAATATGATATTTGATTTCATGATCACCACTAGTTAGTCGCGACCGCCACCACTGCTGGCACAGGTAGCCATCAACCACCTTCGCCTCCTCTTCAACTACAACAATCTCCTCCATCACCCCTACAACCATCGTAGATCACCAACCACCACCGTCCATGGTCAACTCCACAACCACCATCGGCCACCGACCACCATCGTCCATCACCACCAACACTACCACTCGGCCACCTCTACCTCCTCCTCTATTACAACAATCTCCTCCACCACCGTCCATCGATACCACCACCACCACCGTGGGCCACCTTACCTCCACCATAAACCACCACCACCGTGGGCCACCTTACCTCCACCATAAACCACCACCACTATCGGCTAACAATGCCACTGCCCACCACCCACCACCACCACTACGTCTGCTACATCGACCACAACTACCTCATCCATCGTTGTTGATCGTCCCACCACCACTATCATTATCCATCATCTTCACGCCCTCCACAATCATCGTTGTCCACTAATCACCAATGTCTCTACCTCCACAACCATCATTGTTGCAACAATCTTCATCATGCTTT